ACTTTAATGGAATACTTACTTTAATGTTAAAAACAAAGAGGACTACCACTTGCAAAAAATTTGACGTTCCTCAGACAGTTATTGGGCTCTCTTGAACCAAAGAAGTTCAACGGTCACGGAGACACTGTGGCAGAGCTACGCAACAACTTATGCCGTTTTATGAGTGAGCTCATGCGGGAAAATATCACAGCCTCAATGAAGATCGTGGAGAAAAATAATACTGTAAGAATTCTTCTTCAGTCTTCTTTTCATTTCACATTATTATGTTTTGAATCGTGTTGACTTCTTAATCTTTTATAATCTTGTGACAACTATTATAACGTGTGTAACAATTTACAATAATTCGAAGATATTTCCATAAAATAACTGATTATTTAACATTATCAGACGTATTGACTTTTTGATTTTACGCGAATATTATACATATTAAATGAAACTGGGTTACGCATTTTATCGCGTTTTTATTTTGTTTTGAAATTCCCGACGTTTCTAACCCTTTCCAACGTTCATGGTCACGAAACAGACTAAATTGTTACACGTCTTGATTTCATAGATAACCCCGGCTACCGTGTAATTTAAGAAAATGAAATATTTAATAAATAATAAAACGAAACTAGCACAAAATTTCTGAAGTGTCCCTTAAATTTAGCGATCGATGGTGAAAACGGGCTTTAATGTTATTTCGCTCACATGAAATTCCGTCGAAGGCAACTCGTCTAAAGAAAAAAACTTCAAATACTGAATTTCCTCAGACGACGGCAGAAATAAAGTGCGTGAGAATTTTTACTATGACGGACTTTAGTCACAGGGTGTTAAAATCGCTCCAAAGCAGTTAGAAGGGTGAGGGGAATTCTTGTAAAGGTACGACAGTATCACATAAAAGAAACAATACCTCTCGGCGTGTGTGGAACAAATATACCCCTTTCACCACCATACGTCTCAGCGAACTTCAATTTTTTCTTTTGTTGTCGAAACTCTCCGCATTTCAACTAAAAGGTCCGCCTCAGCTTTCGTAACTAAGCAAAGGAATAATTTATCGTCATCTTTCAGTTGAATGCAACGTGGGTGTCTTTATGATAAAGATAGAATAGGTTTTCTATTGTACTACTTATTTTTATTTCTGGTTGATAAATGAATAATATTTAATAAATAAGAAAACGAATCTAGCATTAAATTGTTTTCGGTGTCCTTTGAAGTTAGGGTTCGATGGTGAAAACGGGCATTAATGTTACGAGTATGGTAAGGCTACGCAACTACTACGCAGATTGTTGCGTAGTAGTTACGTAACCTTACCATGTGTAGCACGAATGGGTAGTCGGGGCCCACCTAATTAAAAAATGACCACGCATCTGCAACTAACTCTGCGGTTGTTGCAACTGACAATGTGCGTCGGTTTTCACTTAACATCAGGTGAACCGCCACTCGCTTGCCACTACTACTACCTATTAGACATACGTTGCTATTTATTTGCCTTCCATACCAAATAAAGTACTATTGAAATAATTCTCTTCTTCTGCTAACTAAAATAAATTATGTATTTACAATTATGAGCTTCCTTTGTTCCGTTGCTGTTTGCGCGCTGCTTTTGGAAACGTTGCAGCTCTTTCTAGAAATGTTAAAATGAAATAATTGTATATGTCTTCCCAAATTTTTAAGTAATTGAATTATTTATTATATTACAAGCTTTTCTTTTCTTTTGTGAGTCTCGGTTATTGTAGGTGCGCTTATTCGCTACATTTTTTACCAAGACACGATCTCGGTCACTTTGGACATGCGACAAACGTTTTTGCTGTTACGTTACTGTAATATTAAAATATCATTAATGAAATAAGGGTCAACGAATAAGTATATTCTTGAATGACCAGCACTTTTTTTAGTTTGCATGTACTGAAAATCAGCGTTATGTATGTGGTTTCCATAGCATTTGTGCTGAGCCATTTCAGCTCCTAAATGATTTTATTATGTTGATTTATATTTATATATGTAACTTAATAAATTATGTTATATTATTAAAACAGGCGTCATATAAAACAAATATATTATTTAGATATTATACCGAATGATAAAACCAACAAATCTTAATCAACCTTCAACGAAATCTTATCTTATCTATTTAATATCAATTTTGTTGTTCCAAGGAATAATTGTCGGTTATCCAATAGAAAATGTCTTTCTTTACCTTTCTGTCGTACAAACATCGGGCAACACTCACCCCTCTATCGAATGATATCGTCTTGTAATGATATGGGATTCAACTTTTATCTGTTTTATGGTTCTTTAGCCTCTGCTAAAATACTGATTCGATAGCTTTATGGTAAAATAAGGTAAAGTTAAATTAGTTAAATATCATAATTTTAATTTACATCCTTGCTTAAGATCCTTGTTTCTCTTTATATTTTTATATTTAAGGTGTTTTAATTGTAGTTTATAGAATAGAACGCTATGTTCACTTTTTTAGATGTGCATTATCTGTTTTCCTACATTAATTTTAGTAACTAAGTCCTTATTAAATGTATCATTCAGTTTGTGAACCAAATTAAAAAAAAACATGAAATTTCTACCGTGATCATTTCGTTACAATAAGATATTGATCTTTACTCTGTCATAGAGCTACCCAAATACTTTAGCTGCTGTACTAATAAACCGACTCGATCGAGACAAGACCACGGTATGACAAAATCCCGTCTTGAGTAAAGGTACATTTACGTTCTGTTACGCTGGGTAGGTGAATTAGTAAAGTGCCTACCCTAATATATGATGGCAACGCACCTGCCGCCTTACTGATGTGCGTTACAAGTGGATCACGCCTATAATCATGTGGTCACACTGACCCTTGTGTGCCACACGATAATAGGTAAGGCGACAATCAATTAACGTTAAGTGAACCAAAGGATCAGTTGCCTTCTTCTCCTGTAAAATAATTGAAATTCAAAAGGAGAAAACGTCATGCTGAATATTCCACTTTTTTATTATAAAAAAACAAGTTTCCACTACCCGTCAACTACATCAAAGTGTATAAACAACAAAAATAATATGCAAAGTAAAAGCAGCATTAGTGATAAACGAAGGATGGAAATATACGTATTTATAATATGCTAGCGCCCATTGCATTGTTAATTACAATGCAGGTGTCGTCAGCGTGTAGTACAGAGTGAAAAATCTTTTACTGCGCTACTCATTGCTAGTATACTTATACCACCTCTAACTACCTCATTACCTAACTACCCAACTCCCTAATAAAACTAAAAACTAACATTTTCTTCACCAACCAATAGAAATAATGATGCGTTGCGAATTCAAGACGGATGTGTACCTACAGTAAACGAAAATTAAAGACAAATCGACCACTCAACGTAAAACAATTCAGAAATACATTATTAAAGAAAATGTATACAATTTATATAGAATTAATAAAAACCATATCATTTTTAATAAATATAATTGAGTTATCAATTTGTTTAATTATTATTATAGAAATTAATGTGAGAGACCTTACTTTATTTTTAAAATGCTAATAAAAAGAATATCGTGGAATATTTATTTCATTCAAACAGCATTTCAAAGGCATCGTTAGTTACAATTGCCAGCCGTCTTGATTAATAAAATAACTTTAGCATTTAATCAAAACATAAATTAAATTCTCTGCCATAGCCCATTGAAGAAAAGGTTCTAACAGGGCATTATATACGAGAAGCCGATATTAAACCACACGATCACACCATAAATTTAAACTCGCTAGTGTTACATTGTAATTTGTGAGGTGTATGCGTGTTGGTAACCAAATTTTATACCCGAAATTTAATCAAATCGTTACGTTCATTGCCATTGTTTATAAAAACAATTTTAAATTTATTAACAATAGACAGAGATATCAAACTAGATACTCAATATTCATACACATTTAGTCTTCGCCACCCACTCCTTGCTATTATTGTATTTTAAGACTCAAATCCGGTGAAGTCGTAGACGGTTTTTCTTATCCGTCCCTTATTAGATATAATATTCGCAGAATCCAAATAACGCAAGTAACGAGTACCAATTTCACGGAGCCAGGGCAAAGGACTGTTACTGCGCATGCACGTTTGCGACACCGCGCCATTTCGCCCATACGCTAGAGTAGTGTCGTTCGCCCGCACGCCCGGCACACGCGTCGAACGGCCAATCGCGAGCTTTATCATCAAGCAAGTGATATTTATTGATGAAGATAAAATTAAACGGTCATCCGCTACTTGTGCGAACGATAAAATAAATCTCGCCATCGAAACGATCCACACGGAGGCCGATTGTCGCCCTTTCAGTTCAGATAAATTAATTTTAATAAAATAATTGAGTGCAAAAGTTATGATTAGTTTTAACTTTGTTTACACATCACCCGGCGATTCGGTGCTTTTCATAATTTTGAACTGTCGAAATTTATTATGTTCTCGCTGAATGTGACCGATACGCTTTTTAATGTACCGATTATTTCATATGTTAATAAGTTATTCGATTAATTGTTTTAATAAAAATGGATTCAAATGGCTGTCACTTTTTTGCTCATTTGGAATTTTAAATTATAACAACTTAGCTGACTACATATTGTACACCAGTTTTGGCCAGTGGATAAAAACAGATATAAAAAATATATATTTCACTTAATACAAAACATTGTAGTCCTTGGACATCAATATTTAGTAATAATTGTAAATTTTATATAAATTATTTCCCTGTCAGAGTTTTTCTATTATTTATTTATTACTGAATTCTTGATTCTAAAAGCTGACTATATTTTAAAAATAATACACATTTATAAATTTTACTTGCTATAATTTACTTTAGTTTTTTTTTAAATAATTTAGTTGGTACAACGAATAGCATTGGGTAAGAGACAGAGACTTTAAAATGAAATTTGACATATCATCGTGTTATTTTGACTAACGTGAGGAGACCCAGTGCAGTGAAGTGAATTGTGAACAAAAATAAAGTATGATTAATATTATGTGAAACTACGACAAATAACAATGTGGGGTGCACCGCTTGGATTTATTTTCCTTTTGTTTGGTAAGAAAGCTAAAAGATAGGAGATTCTTATCCGTAAAAGCGAATTCGAGATTACTTTTTTACTGTGCAGTCGGTGCGTAATAAAGTCTGGCCGATTTTATCCTGTAAATAAAGTCACGGCCATAAAAACGACTGCGGGAAATGCTATAAAACGAATTCCTCCTGAAAGACCTGTGAAAAGGAACCTCAAATACGACAGGTTTTAGAGATTATGTCTGATCGTACATTGCACCTGGCAAGCTTGTTTAATGAGTGAATTTTAGTGATGGTTGAGAGAAATGAATACCGTATTGATCATTTTCTGAATTTAATAATATTGTTCTCTTCTTGGTTATTTTCTTAATAACAAGTTGGCAAGCAAGCTGGCGATTCACCTGATATAAATTGATAATCGCCGCTCACATTTGCAACACCCGTAGGGTTGCAGATGTGTTGTGACCTTCTAATTAAGTGGACCCCGGTAACCTCGCCAACTAGGCGAAACGCAGAAGTGTAAAAGTTCCACTTCACGCCGGTTTTCTGTGAGGTCATGGTACTTCCTCGCAAGGAACCCCACATTTGTGCAACACTAAAGATTTTTCCGTAGCCCTACCACAGAAATATCACTGACCATTAGTAATTTAACTGCTTTTTCTTCATTAAAAATTGTAAATTATTCTTACTTTGCCTTTTTTACAGTAAATTTACTAGATTTTAAACAAAAATACATTAAAATTGCGTTTCGTTGTATTACCGTCGTAGCGTATCATCGTCAGATCTTGTAAACGTACCTACAATATTTTCGCATTTGAGTTCAGACGACGTGGAAAAGACATGACCCTATGTTTATGGAAACGATTTGTTTGTTACAAATCTTATGTAAGTCTTCTTGCAACCACTAGATAGTATGCAACGCTCATGGCCTTGGTTTAGATATATTACTTGTTGACTAAGTTAACCGCTATAGCGTTACGACAACTGTTTTACTTAAAATAACCATTAAGTTACGTTAGAAACTTACACTATTGCAAAATACCAATAAAAATACTTACTTTACTGAGCTTCATAAAATTCTTTCCACTTTCTTAATAAAACGTACGCAATTAATTAAATGTGAGCCACTGCTGATTACTTATCAAATAGGTAATAACCAATTTTTCAAAAATTTAATTTATAAATTTAACTAGCAAAACTCAAAACCAATACAAATAAAAAGGCAAAACTCATAATGACTTAACAAAGCTAGTTGTTTTGGCTTTCTCATTTTTAGAAGGAACAAAAGATGTTTGGATTTTATAATGATTTAGAAATATGTTTGTTCAGTTGTGTAATCATTTTTATTGTTATGAATCAACTTATTCGCATAAATTATGTGAGACAAAACAACTTACTTCGTAGAATCTACGCGAAGATAAAAATGATTGACACAATTCGAATGACACAAGCAAAATACTTTTAAAAATTATTAAATAATTGACAGTAGCCGGGGTTAACTTTGAAATTAGAACGTGAAAAATGTCCATGAACTCTGGATACGGTCAGAAACATATAGAATCAAAAATAAAAATAAGATGCGATAAAATCTTAAAAATAGTTCCATTCAACCTGAAAACATTGTAATTACTAATAAAAGCATTTAATATTTATGTTCATGTTAAAATCTGAAAAATGCTAACAACTAAATTTTGTAATATAAAATTTAGATTTATCCAAGTAACTAAGGTAATACAATCATTTTTGTAAAAGCTCACATAAATTTTAAATTGTTTATTCTTAGAAGTAAACAAAATACAAATATTTAATATATGTGATCTCGACTGGAGATCCAACTCCTCATTAAACATAACATCTCAGGTCTTACATTATCAAACTTACTTTATATATTTTTATTAACTCATTGCTTGCTGTTTTGAACATATACCTCAGGCTAATCATAAGGGAGCTATGAGGCTCTAGCCTCTATAAATAAACGTTTCCCAACAGGTGGGTCTTAAAATGAACATGGGCAAAACGAAAATCATGTTAAATGCCCATGTCTTACCCATACCTGTTGAATGTACGAAATAAATTGAAAAATATTACATAAGATTTTACTAGTTTGGTTAAACTTTTGAGTGTTTTAGAAATTTGTGGCTCACGAATGACATTATGACGATATTCGCACAGTGGAGTGCGAATATCGTCATAATGTCATGAATTACGTCTAACGCAAATATTCACCAATAGTACTGGTCTCGATTACTCAAACATCTCACTATTTTTCGTGAGTGTGAGTAACATTTTTAGTATGTCTGTCGTTATAATATATAAGAATATAATAATATAAATACATAATGTTGAAAAATTGAAATTTATGGTAAGATACTTTTATAATAATGAATATAATAATACGTCTTGAATACAGAAGCTATTAGTGATTTCAGTGCATTCCTATTATAAATGTAACCAATGTGGAAACTAGATCCATTGTGAAATATTGTTTTTGGAAAATACATATATTTGTAACAAGCTAGCTGACCGCTGTATGCTAATGAATACAGAATAGCATGAATCTCATTTACCCAAAATAAACCTTTTATTGTCGGAAGTATATACATACATATACGCTGCAGTATATATACTGAACATTGATTGGTTATTGAAATGAGAGATATTTATTATAACATACTGTTATTTTTAATTCTTTAAATAAAATTCATGGAGCGTTACAACTATAAGAACCTTGAAAACAAATTAATCGTGTTTTGCAGCTTATACTAAGAATGCACTGGATTTTCATACTTTTGTATTCTGACCCTAACATCACACACATATTTTATCCAAATCACACAGTGTAGGAGGTCGATCAGAATGAAATAAGATGATCGGGTGTGTCTTGGGCAACTAGGCACTGAATTCATCATCGATTCCACGAAACAAACTATAATTAGCGCAATTCGGAAACAGTTTCAATCATACCAGCAGTTCAAAGAGATTAGTCACTAATACGAAATAATGATAATAAAATAATTCCATTATTAAAATTTTATATATTTAACAATGTTGCACTGTGGTCCCCGACTATAGAACAAAGCCATGGTCTATCATCTTTTTTTTTCTTAACGTGGGGTTAATGCCTACGCAAGTCCGCCCTCGCGTAGGTAAAACGGGTTATTTCGAACCGAGTCCACCTAGAGCACATAGCATTGGCCTCCGTAGTAGCCCCTACCTAGAAAGCTCCCATTCAGAGCGCCTCACCCACCCAGAACGCATTCAGGGTGGGCTCAATGAGCCTACTTGGCGCGGCCCTCTCGGGCGAGCCTTAAACCATAGACCAGCCCAGGTTCCTCTTCGCTTCATGGTGGGTACACGGCTTCTAAGTAATATAGAGTATAAAGTCGTGGACCATTTTCTGACTGGCAACTGAAAAGTGGCTCACGTCTTTTCACGTCAATGAACCTGGTACAAACAGCGACAAGAAGAGCCGCAATAAGTGAGGGAATTGAAAACTGTGCAAGCTTTGCACAGTAAAGGGCTGATGATGATCGATTGCAGTTTGTTGAATAAGAAAATGTACGGGGAAGAAATACTAAACGAATTCTTTCTTATCACTGAGAAAATTCCGATGGTTCTGTGGTAAAAGAACTCAAATAAATTACTAATTATCTCATCTAGTGGAATTTACACGCATTCCCGACCAAAATCCAATCGATCGAGCTCATGACAAACTAGTAGTTAATGTTACAAAATTCCAACCTAATGCTTCATGTGAGCGCTATTACCCAAAACTGCATCAGAAACTTGGTACACAGTCTACTGATTCCGAAAAACGATAAAAGATATTACAGAATACAAAAAAGCAAGAAAGTAAAATGATGCAACTATCAAAATATTTTAATAGTCACATTTTGTGCATGTGCATAATGATTATATGATAATCAGATGGTTATGCAAGTTTTGCTATTTATAACGTTTGCCATACACACTATCTACTGTTAATTATATTATTTTTAATAATGTAAAAAAAAGATAATTTTGTAAACAAATAAATAATAACTAAGTCCAGAAAACGTTTTTAGGTAAAAAGCCCAGTAATCTTCCTATTCAAAAGAATATTCTTCTTTTTATTGCCATGAATTCATTGCTCTCGAGGAATATAAACATTTATTACACTAAAACACCATATACATATATACCGACTGAACATTACATGCATAGAACGGAAACTTTGATAATTTTTGCAGAGTTTTTGTTTTAAACAAAAATGAGTACTTTAACTACATGGCGTATAAGTAACGGCCATACATGTCCCAACGGCAAAGGCCTCCTGTGTACAGAGGGTATCAGGCCATAGTCTACCACGCTTCCCCGCTGCGGATTGGCGGGCTTTACATATTTTCGAAAGATTTTTTTTCATTTATTTCGAAAATATGTAGGTTTCCTCACGATGTTTCCTTCATCGCCGAGCACTTGTTATGTCAGCACTTAAAAATAACAATTTCATTTTGCCAAAACCGGGGATCGAACTTAATCAAAGGTTGCTCGAGTATATTTAATAAAAGGCGAGCGCCCAGACACTGAGCTATCAAGGCATACAGTTACATTCGTAACTAAAATTTCGCGAGAAAGCTTGTGTCATGTAGTATTTGATGTCCGCTAAATGTCAGCATCGATTCTCCGTAGCCTATTCTCATGTTATATCTATAAGACCCAAATACCTAATCAATGAATAATCTACGAAACTTAATAGTGAAGGCTGTAACTTGTATTTCCTTGTCCCTTAACTGTCACAGCTACACCGTATTTAAATTTTCACGTTGTCCAAGAATACTAAAATAGATTTTAATTTCCGTACGTGAAGGAACTTTGAATTTTTTTTTAATCGATGTGACAGCTGATAATACAAGGTATAAATGGTTTTAAGGGAATTAAAGTTCATTCTTTTGTAATTATGGTCTAATTATATGCTATGCTATTACATTCTATATGTACATGAAAATAAAGGTTACATCATGTATTTTCGATATCGATGAATCTAGTTC